AACAAGAAGCTACTAGGAACAGGTGCATCGCTACTAGTAACAAGTGCCTTACTAGTAGTAACAAGAAACTAGTAGTAACAAGTGCCACGCTACTAGTAACAGGTGCCTTACTAGTAGTAACAAGGACTCTACTAGGAACAAGGGTGCGAAAGTGCACTTCTGATTGTGCCTCTCAGGTGCAGCAGCCTATTCGGATTGTGGCCCTAGCAGCCTCCTTGGCGAATGCCAAGGATGTGGGCGAATGGATTGGAGCTTCTTCCGGTTTGTTCAATTTCAGTCCGAACGTTCGAACGGTTCCTTTGGAATTGGTGATTCAAGGCTTTGATATTCATCATCGTTCTACTCGTTTGTTGGCCATGAGTCGTCCCGTCTATCAATCCATCAAGCAATTCAGTCCTGAGAAGCCTGTTATCGTGTTCGTCCCCGACCGGAAACAAGCACGAATGACGGCCATCGATCTGCTCCTCCATGCGGCCTCCGACGATAAGCCCAAGCGCTTTTTGCACGTGAGCGACGAAGCCATGCGACCGCATCTCCAAGCGGCACGCGAAAAGAGTTTGAAACAAACCTTGGAATACGGCGTGGGCTTCTTGCACGAAGGCCCAGGGGGGCAAAGCCGTGGGCTTCTTGCTAGGAACCATTCTATATCCTCTTTCTTATTTATCTTTCTTCTACCTCTACTTCTACCTTTCTTCTATTCCCTCTTCTCTTTCCTTTCCAGGCTTCAGTGCCACGGAGCGCGCGGTGATCGAGCGGTTGTTTGAGGCGGGCGCCATCCAGGTCCTGGTGGCCACGGAGCAGCTGGGTTGGGGAATGACCATGTTAGCCCATTTGGTGATTTTGATGGATACCAAGAAATTCGATGGAAGAGAAAATCGCTATGTGGATTATCCCATTCACGATGTCTTGCAGATGATGGGAAGAGCCAGTCGTCCGGGCATCGATCAGAGTGGAATGGTCGTGCTATTGACACAGAACAGTAAGAAGGAGTATTACAAGAAGTTCATTTATGAACCGTTGCCCGTGGAAAGCCATTTGGATCAACGGATGGCCGATCACATGAATGCCGAAATCGTGATGAAGACCATTGAAAACAAGCAAGATGCCGTGGATTGGTTGACTTGGACCTTTTATTATCGGCGTTTATCGCAGAATCCCAATTACTATGGTCTCCAAGGGGTGACGCATCAGCATTTGTCGGATCATCTATCGGAGGTCGTGGAGAACACCGTGGAAGGTTTGGAACGTTTCGGTTGTTGTTCCATCGAAGACGACGTCGAATTGGCTCCGGCCAATTTGGGTTTGATCGCCGCCTACTACTACATCCGTCACACCACCATCGAGACCTTCAGCCGTTGCGTCAACGAGCAGACGAAACGAAAAGGCACATGTTACATGTGTTTAAACATTTGTTTTTTTCTTATGTTTTTTTATCTGGTGAAAAAAATATTGGGTTTATATATTTATTTTTGTTTTTTGGTACGGGCGGGGGGGGGGGGGGGCTAGGCCGCTAGTAGTTTCAATAGCTACTAGTGTGGACGCAGGAGAGCTCGCGCTAATGAGTTGGTTCCGAGATTTTGAGGGAAAAATATAAAAGTGGACCCGTAGTTCCTAGTAGCAAAACTACATGAGGGAAGCTCCTAGTAGCGTGGCACTTGTTACTACTAGCTTCTTGTTACTACTAGTAAGGCACTTGTTACTACTAGCGTGGCACTTGTTCCTACTAGCTTCTTGTTACTACTAGTAAGGCAACTGTTACTACTAGCGTGGCACTTGTTCCTACTAGCTTTTTGTTACTACTAGTAAGGCA